TTCTCTGGTTTGGCTTCTTTACATTTGTTTTCGCCTGTTTGGTTGAGGGGAAAAATGGTATAAGAAGTGAATTAGAATGCTGGAAATAAAATTATCACCATTGTATTGAAACAATTTTCCACCGGTTGAAATTGGCATATATATATATATATATATAAGCTAGTTTAAACACACCTCTACATCTTTCAAGAAACGGTTCCTTAGATGTTTATGGTTCTTCATGTTTTGCAAAAACAATTTATTTTTCTTCGGATAATATATCATATCATAAAATACATGAGCGAGTTCAAACTTACGACGTTTCAAAAAATGACACTACAGGCGAATTACAAGCGGTATAAGGTGGCTTGATAGCACATTTGTTTTTGGTACAAAGTATGACGGGTTCAAATCTAGTCATCCCGGTAGTTAACAACTAAGCTAGCCTCAAATATGTTGGGTATTTTAATTGAAAATTTGTTGTGTATGATTAAAAATTAAATTAGATTATGACAATGATTTCTATAGTTGTTATATGAATAACTGACTATAGAAACAAACTCTAACCAATAAGGAGAATGAAAACATACCACTGTGTTTCCTATGTCTGATAGAGGCTTTCTTTTTGTACCACCATCTTCAGCAGGAGGAGCCTCACTCGGTCTTCTCTCAGCTAAAGCATTCTGCAGCAACCTTGCACCATGAGAAACAAGGTCACGACTCTCCTCGTCGGTTGCATCGTTTTCCGAACCACTTCGAACATCCCCGACTGAATCCGGTCGTATCGACTCATCCCGCTCGCTTTTACTACCTCTGTTTGCACACTTTGATGGTCTGCAACCACATGACAAGCCACACGCACCACCGCTGGCTCTACATTGGCACTTTGTTGTCTTGCAATAAGAGGATCTGCTGCAACTGCAGCATACACTGGTGGTAGTAGCAGTTATGGTCTCATTCACAAGAACTACTCCTTCACCAGAACTATCCAAGTTACAGTTTGTACTGTTAGTGCCATCTGAGACAACCATCATACTTGAACGGCCCTTGGCTTTGGAGACTCTTTTTCTGCCATGTCGTCGTTTCATAGATTTCTCCCAGTCATAATTCGCGTCATCGACATCTGAATAATCGGAATCTGAGGTATCCATGTCTGCTAGTAAAAGGACGGAATTTCGATGCTCCTATTCACAAACAGCATGGAATTCAATGATATAAATAAGAGGCGGGAGATACTTATTTTGCTGGAGGAGAAGTGTTATGTTATCTACCTGCTTTCGTAAATCATAGTTATGGCCCCCACTGTTGGCCTGATCTGAAGAGCTTCTCATGGTATGCTTTTTCAGAGCTGAGTTCTGCAATTGAATCTGTATGTAAATTCAAGCTGTCAGGGCTAGGAAAAGTTTTACATTTTGAAAGGGAAAAACGTTAGAACAAAGGAAGAACATCTTGGAAAAGACAAGGAACTTGCACTAAATGAGAATCTAGGAAGCGGAACTAAGCTAGAAAATTCCACCTGATGAATAAGTTCGGCCTTTTGCTCTTCTGATTTCTTTAGCATACTGCTAAGATTCACTATTTTTTGTTTCAATTCTCTAATTTCCGAATCCTTCTCCCTAGAAGCAAACTCTTTATCCCATAGCAAACACCTAAAAAAAAGGCAGAGAGAAGCACAAGCTCATTATTGAAATAATTAAAATTAGAGACTCCGACCAAAATTTTGTGCTACAGTATAGGGGCGATTGAACTTAGATAAATCATGCTAACCCAACTCAAAAGAACAAAAGTTGCACGGGTCAATTTTCAATACAGACAAAGGATCATTACCTTGAAGAAGATGCTAAATTCATCAAAAAATTCATCATATTCTTTGCATCTGCAAGAGAACGAACTTGATGCCAACGTCCCCTACCACCAAGAACGCGTTCACGCTCTTCTGCCTCCGACAAATGCGAGGCCATAGAAACCAGAGAGCTGGATGAAGTAGCAAGCATGTTTTCAAGAGCAACAATCCTTGAATTTCTTGCACCGGGTGACATTTTTTGGGTACAATCACTGTCCGGACAATTCAGATAGGTAATCATGTTAATATGTAATTATTTTGCACCCAAATATTGCAACCAACCACCAAACAACAATACAACTTTATTCACCACCTTAAATTAGCTCCCCTGTGCAAATCTGCTTCCTCCTTAAGCTTTGCCAACTCCTTGGCCATTTTAGACCTCCTGAAATAGCAAGAATTTTCATTACAATATTGGTTTAGATAAAGATTTATTTGAGGCTACCAAGAAAGTATGAGCTAATTTTCACGTGGGTGAATTTGGGATGATTTTGTAATAATGAAAAGTATTTTCACAAATTTTCATCGTTATTCGATTTTATAGTAAAAATGATTTATTATTATTATTTTAAAAAAAAAGAAACACTGAGGTTGAAAATCCTTTTTCTCAAAAGAATACTTATAGGTAAAGCAATTTTCAAAAGTGATCCCAAACTCGCTTTAAAGCAAACTTACTCTTCCATTTGACGTTCATATTCAGAACGAACTTCATGCACCCTTACTGTGACTTCAAGTTCATGCTCAATATTCTGCATTATAGCCTTCAACAGAAAGGAAAAAAAAAAATATTCATCTTAGGCATCCAACCATATACTGTGTTGGAATGCATGAATTGAATAGTCTTCTTTTTTTATCTTTTGTTACTCAAAAGTTAAATACCTGAATTCCAGGACCGTTCGTTCCGACACCTGCAAATGGAATGCAGATCCCAATAGTTAACAAAGTGAAAAATTAAAAATAAAAATAAAAATAGAAGCCTTCTTAATGCCATATTAAACTTTACTAACTGGAAGTTTCACGTGCTGCCTTTCGAGATTCTAAAAGCTCTTTAAGCCTTTTTGTTGCCTGAGCAGCTTCTTCTGTCTTTCTTTGCAAGACCTGTTATACGGACATATAGGCATAAGAACCCTCCAAAATAAATTTATGATAACTAGTGTGCTAAGAGGCAATCGATTTACCATTTTCTGCCTTTGATTCAAAGCTAAGAGCTTGTGCATTTCGTACTCATTTCTCCTACCCTCCTTCTTCAGCTGATCGTACGTGAACAGATATAAAAAAAAATACGAAAAAGAAATATCTATACCATATACAAATTATGCTATAAAGGAAAAGTTTTATGTTCTCATTTTACCCTTTAGTACCGCACCATAAAGGGGGGCCAAAAATGGAAATACAAAGGCTGAGTTTACAGCTTCAATACCTGTAGAACTTCCTTCTCTCTCGAAGCCTTCCATAATCTAAATTGCTCAGACTCCTGCTTAATCTTGTGTTGCAGTTGAACCTAATATAAAACTGCGTTAGAAGTTTCTGTGAGTAATGTAAAGGTCTCGAAGTCTTTAGGACACAGAGATACCTTCTGGGTCTTAATTCTCTGGATCTCGTCTTGTAATCTTTTTGCTGCCTCATCACTCTTTTGCTTCTGTCGCAACAGTTGAGCCTGAGCATCTTGTTTCTTCTTCAGTTCCGAGACCTAAAATCCAAGATATGAGACTACAACACAAGGAAATGCTTAAAGGTTTGAGGGCCAAAAAGCAACTCAATTTACCTGGGTTTCCAAGAAATTCAATTTCTGAAGATATTCTTGCTTCAACTTTTGCGCACCATCATCAGATGTAGAAGATATGTTTGAAAGATTACATCTGAGTTCCTCAATCTCTTTCTGAAAATCAACAAAGATAAAAGCTAAAGATATTTCTGGTGACAGTTAAGCTTGCAATATATTTTGGATAGAGCAATTACCTGTAAAGCTCTCTTTTCTTGTTCCAATTCATGGACCTTCTTTTCATAATGGTGTTTAAGAACAGATGTATTCGCACCAGAAAACCGTTTCATTTCAGCCTACAGCACATGAGAGTGAACATACATTACAAAGACAAACATATAGGAAACAGAACTTATATGAAACAACCTCGGAACAATCAATCTTATACAAGGCAGCTGTCTAAATGTTCACAGTAGCTTTAGATGAAGTTGACACAAACAATCTATGGATTGGGGGGGGTGCATTAATGAGCTGAGGGAGGAAGGCTGTCCACGCCATGTTGTAAGATTTAGGACAGCCAGGACTCAGGATTGGGTAAAAGTTCTCGTGTGAGAAATAGGCTCCTAGAAAATTCCATTCTTCAAATTATTCTTTGAAATTAATAACTAGATTTCTTTCTGGTCTCTTATTTATTGGAGTTACTATAAATTATAACGGATT